TCAAATTGAACGACAATTAGCCAGTCTTACATCATTTGTGCAACAAATGACACTTGGGACAATGCAACAAACAAAAGTGTGCGCGAATTGTTCTATTGTGGGACATCCTACCTATGCATGCCCGACACTACAAGAAAGAGCCTCAGAGCAAGCAAATGCCATTAGGGGATTTCCAATGCAATAGCAACAGGGACATAGATATGATCCATATGCTAACACTTTTAATCCTGGATTGAGAGATCATCCTAATCTCAGTTACGGAGGAAATCATTTCATAGCTCCACAATCACAGTTTAATCATTCCCGGGGTTCAATCAACAAAGGCAACAACAACACTCTCAACTTCGTCAACAAACTTCGTCTCAAAGTTCAGAGATGTCTCTTGAAGATATGGTGAAGTCCTTAGCTTCTAGTACAATGCACTTTCAACAAGAGACAAAAACCTCAATTAAGAATTTGGAGACACAAGCGAGTCAATTGGCCAATACGGTAGGTAAATTGAAGGCTCAAGGATCAGGAAAACTCCCCTCTCAAGCAATCAACCCGAGAGAAAATGCCAGTGCTGTGACATTAAGAAGTGGAAAAATTTTGGAAGAGACACCAAGGAAAATGAAAGATCAAGTTGAGGAGTCAACGCAAGAGAAGAACTTAGCGTGTGAGAAAGATGAAGCTAAGACTCCAACCTCGGGATCTAAGGTAGATTCTAAAAGTCCTATTCCTACTTACGTTCCCTCCCCTCCATTTCCTAGCAGATTTGCAAAGTCCAAAAGGGATGAACATGAGAAGGAAAATTTGGAAACGTTTCGCAAGGTTCAAGTGAACATACCACTTTTGGATGCCATTTCCACCAAAATGTAAGGATCCAGGAAGTTTTACCATCCCTTACATTATTGGTAATACTAGGTTTGAAAAGGCAATGCTAGATTTAGAAGCATCCATTAATGTCATGCTATATTCTATTTATGCCTCTTTATTTTTGGGATCACTTAAGGAAACCAGTGTTATTATTTAACTTGCTGATACATCTAATGCATTTTCAAAGGGTGTGTTAGAGGATGTTTTGGTGCAGGTAAATCAATTGATTTTTCCAGTAGATTTCCATGTTCTTGACATGCAAGATGAATCAACATCTATGACGTCATCATTGCTCTTGGGAAGACCATTTATGAGGGCTGTGCGTACAAAGATAGATGTACATGATGATACTTTGACAAAGGAGTTTGATGGTGAGATTATTCACTTCAATAGCTTTGAAACAATAAGGTATCCTAGTGATATTCATGCTTGTTTTCAATAGATATAATGGATTCATTTGTGAAAAAAAATTTCAATTTATCAAATGAAGATGCATTGGACACCACTTTGATTAAAAGCATTGATGTTGATAATCTTACCGAGTTGAGCAAGAATCTACATCTGTGTGAGGATATTGTTAAAATCGTGGCATCACTTGAGTCACTACCGAGTATTCCACCAAGGTATAATATCTCCTATATTACTCTTCCGATATCTAAAGAGAAACTTTTACCTTCGGTGATGCAAGCCCCCACCTTGGAACTCAAACATTTTCCCGAGCATTTGAAGTATGTTTGGGAGAGGGGGAAACAATACTGGCGATCATAATAAAGAACCTCACAACACTTTTTTTTGTTTTTGTGAATTTTTGTCGCCAATGGTCCCCAACCATCATCACAGCCATCACCGTCAATACCACTAGGGGAGTATTTGAACCTTTTGCACTTTTTATTTCTTTTTGCTTTTATATTGAGGACATTGTGCAATTTAAGTTTGGGGGTGAGGAGGTGGTATGTGCTAAATTTTTTGTGGAATTTTGTGGTTTGTGCTAATTTTGTTCTCACTAAAAACTTAAAAATTCGGGTTAAACACTTATTTTTGTTGCTTGTTTGTGTTGTTTGATAGTTTTGCCAATTGTATTTTGAGTATTGCATTACATTGATGTATGAATTGGGAACATGAATGCTAAGTGTTGTTTACTTTCATCCACTTATTCCATGATTGATTCTTTATTGAGCACTTCGGTCATGAGATTTATCATACTCACTTGTTAGTTGCACTTGTAGGTTGTTAACGAACTTGAATGACCATGCTATTAGAAATTCTTCAATTACTCTACCAATGAAAGGATAAGTTTGGGGTGGTTGAACCGGTGAAAGAAATTATTTAGAATTGTATTAATTCCCGACTCAGTGATTGATTTTGTGGAATAATCTTAGACTTCAAATGAAAGTTAGATGTTGTTTTTCATCTATTGATATTTCATAATAAAAAAAATATCTGTAGGAAAAAGTTGCCTACCCTAAAGAGTGTGAGTCAGTATTGAGTAATCTGGCCCTATGCATCACTAATGTGTAGGAGACGATCTACGAATGAAGAAGGCTACCCTTAGGGACCAAAGTGAGAACTACCTACATTGGAAAAATGAAGAAAAATAAAATGAATGTTATAAGCATCTAGGGGTGACTTTGCTGAAGAATTGATGGATTATGAGTAATTTGCCTAACATAAGTTGTGGTCTAAGAACTCAAAATTTTTGGTGAATTAATACATAACTAGATGATCTATTTTTTCGGTTCAAACCAACCAAATTTGAGAGGGAAAGATTGAGTGATGAGGGCAACCTTAAGTTTTTTACACTTTGGGCTAGAGTGAAAATATCAAGTTTGGGGAAGTGTGCATCCCACGAGTGAGAAAAGAAAATTTGACCATTGAGGGTCGGGAAAATCACCAACTTATATATTGTGATGAATTGGAATGACCACACACACACACAAGTCAAGCATGTTATAAGTTAAAGAGTGTTTGTTGTAGTATTTTTGTAAACATTTCATAAGTTAGTTGCATAATGTAAGGCTTGAAGCAAGTGGCAAACTATCTAACATTTGGAATGTTTGTTATTACAGTATTATCGTTTGGTTTTAATTTACGTGCTTGTATGCTTGTTTGTATAGCTTTGTTCGAGGACTAGCAAAGATTTATGTTTGGGGGTGTGATAAGTGCAGGTTTTTGCACTATTTCGAGCCATTAAACTTAGATATTTGGGAGTTTCATTAGCGATTTATTACTTAATTTAGTTATTTTTATTGTGTAGGCGCAAACCCGACTTTGAACAATGATTTGAAGGTAGTTATGTGAGAAAAGACGAAAAAGATAAAGAAAACATGAAGACGTTGAAAGATGATGTTTCTAAAAAAATAGATAAAATAAAAATAAAAAT